GAAACAAAGCAGTCAGATAAATCAAACTTTATTAAACTCATTCTTCTTGCTTCCTCCACTTCTGTACCATTGATTCATTAATGTTGAATTCTCTGGCAGCTGCTCTATTCCCATGTTGTTGCAGTATATTAATGACTAACCTCGTATTGTGGATGGATTATCTCAGTTGTTCTCCTGACTTAAGTTTGGTCCGTTTACAGCATCCTGCCATGCGATTGCATTTGTCTCTAACTATCAGGCACGTTAACTTTTCTAAGTGGAAAAGTGTTGGTGTTCGTCCTCCAGCTTCACTGTTTGTTATGCTAACATAGCTGTGTTGCTAGCGATCACGTAGCACATCATTATATACCAGCTAGCCCACCTTCAGTAACCCTACAAACGTCACTGCTGTTTAGTTTCCTGTCTTCATTCATGTTGGAAGTGATAGCAGAGCTGTACGTTTGAATTTTTCCAGAAATCTCTGTCAGAACATGCTATATCATGCTTAGGTAACTAGCGAAACTAGCGAGCTAACTTCCGCTAGCTTCCTGCTAACTTCTAACTCCGTTAAATGTAATAACTTTTGTTTTCATGGATGCCTGGAAGCTAAACTTCATAGTTACACCTGGTAAAGCAGCAATGCTGATCGTTTTATTAAAGATGAAAGAATTTAGACAGTTTTTAACTCTAGGTGATGCTGCAGTGTTCGTTTGCATACGGAGTTTAGGACCCAGATTACTCCCAGATTTAAGAGCATCTTAGTCCGACAAATACGACAATAACGACGGCCGCTTGCATGTTCTGCAAAAAAATGTGCTTTGTGTATCTGACGGACAAACACCAAACCAGTTCCACATCACTGAAGTTGCACCATTTTTACAAACCAATTCTGGTTCATCTGTTTCACTCAACAATCGGCCATGTGCGTATGAAAACAAAGGCACTGCGCATGCGCGTTTTACTCATATTCTATCGCGATATTTCATTTTCCTATCGTTGCCTAACATTATACCGGTATTATCGTGAACGGTATAATATGGCCCAGCCCTACTCTTAAGTCTGTGGTTTTCCAAGTCTGTGGAATGTAAATGAAACAAGAAACAGAAAAATCCCAGATTGTTTCTACAGTGAAACCAAAGGAAGAGCAAAATGAACCAAAACAAAGAAAAATGATGGTTTGAAATGTTTGTTTGTTTTTGGAGCCATTATAGTGACAGTGTTTATAAAGAAATCATGCTGTCAAACATCCACAAACAGGACTACTGGCCTAATCTCTGTGTCTATTTTTAGATTAGTGGATGATGTAATGCAGCCAGGGCTGCATGTGTTTCAGTCTTGTGGGAATTCTGTGAACGTGTGAAATCCTGCAGCTCATCCAGATGTCAGGATAATTGCAGAAAGAGCTCATATTTCATGAGTTTCCTTTATTTTTGCTGCACACTTCAAATATTTAGTTTGGAAAAGCATAAAATGAGGCCCATTCCATATCCTTACTTTTCTTAATTACTGTATCCCATACATCCCATCTGTGTGGTTTCTTCCTGACCACTGGGAAACACACAGTGCTGCTGTGGAGTGTGCACATGGCTCTCTCTGTAGGAGGGTACTGTTATTCAAACTATAGGTCAGCTTTGTTGTCATTAAGCAGGGTCATGGTATGGCATGTCACAGGAATGTCTGTTTGAGCTGTGCTGTTTTAGACACACACACACGCGCACACACAGCAACACAATATGCACATATTTGTGTGTCTCCATACAGTTTATCATCATCATCCTTCCAAGATCATCTTTTTTGGAAGTATAATTTCAAAAAGTTTATTCTCAGCTGATTCTTCTACTGCTTTTGTTCTTTGCTCGCTACGTCTTGTTTCCTCCGTCATCGTTTGACAGCAAAAGAAAAGACTGGTCAAGAATTTAGGACACAGCGTTCAGAGTTTTTGTTTTACTGATCTGATTAATTCGCTGATACAATCAGCGGTCTCCTGATAGAGTACCGATCTTAAACATTCTCACAACTTCCTCAATTGTTTACCTCTGAATGTTTACCCCTGATATTTGGGCTTAGTACTACAACCCGGCTGATTCTGGATGACTAGTAATCTTCTATATGTAAACAGTATGTTGAGTTCTGTTGAAAAGGGAAAAGATTTGTTTTAGCTCCCTTCACCCTAATTTTTAGGCAGCTTTATTTTAACTGCTCCTGATCAACAGAATTTTTGTATGGTATGTCTGAAGGGTACAACATGGAAGTGAGATGGTAAAGTCCAAGCTCATATCTAAATGTGTACTGACGTAGCGAGGCACTGTCAAAAATACGCAGAACAGTTGGTATAGTAGACCACTGGTGTCCGACTTAGCTGCTGCTGTGGAGAGGACGTCTGTCACATTATACCAAAAAAGTGTTAAAGATGTAGAAAAGTGTCTGCTGCATATTTGTGCTCCTTTTGTTGTTTTCTTGTATTTTTTGTGCCTCTTTAACTCTACAGTAGTATTTAGCTACTTACTGTGCTTACCATATAATTATGCAATTTCTAAATTATGCCAAATGTTTTATGAACAAAAAATAAAACAGAAAAAATGCATATTTGCCAATAACAATATATCAGGGCAATATCAATAAGTCTGTGTGATTTGATTCAACAATGAAATCTTATATCTGAGTTTTTACTTCCATACAGAGGAACTAATGTGTGCCAGTATTTTCATTCTCGTTACTAAATGTATGCTCTGGGGACTGACTGAGCACAGATGTGCGCACATCTCCAACCACAAACCTTTACACTGTGTGTGTGTGTGTGTGTGTGTGTGTGTGTGTGTGTGTGTGTGTGTGTGTGTGTGTGTGTGTGTGTGTGTGTGTAG